AAAATTCTCATCATTTAATTTAAAATTTAAATTTAAAATATTTAAACTGAAATTTCAAAATTTGATCAACGCAAAACTCCTCAACCAGTCTTCTTCTTCTTCTTCTTCTTTTTTTTTTTTTTTTTTTTGTTAATGAATCAAAAAGATTTATTAAAAAAGAGAGTAGAAGGGCACTCACCCATGGAAAACTCCTCAACCAGTCATGGTTTTTAAGTAAAATTTGTAGGCATCAAATACGCACAAATGGATCGTTGTGATTGGTGATGGTGATGGTGATGGTGACATGTTTAGTATTTCTCATCAAACACAGTGAGTGGGCATTAGTGGTTAACTAATATTTTAGTTGAGAAAAAGTGTGAACCGATTATCAAGCCAAATTTGTGTCTCTTGTATCGGTTCAGTGACTGATTCTTTTTGGTTGTGTTTTCGGTTTTGGTTGGCACAAAATTTAAATTAAAGGAAAAAAAAATTCATCAAATTTTAACCAAATTACAAGGCAAATGTCAGCTTGTAATATCATTCTCAAGTAATTTTTCAAATTCCATCTAAAAACATCATTAATAAACTCATGATAAACTTAAGAAAAATTATTGGTACACCTTTTGATTTAATACATTTTCTAATACACCCAGGTTTAATGATTAAAAATATAATATAATACAGTCAATTTAATCGATTCTTATATTCTATATGCATGATTGTATCATTAAACTTGTTTGTTTTTAATTTCAAACAAAAAAATAAAAATTTTTTAATGAGTGTGTCATGCTGTTTGTTAAACCAGAGTATGTACCAATCACTATCTTAAACTTAAATCAACATCAAAATAAGAAAAAAAAAACAACACACACTCACACACATTAATACTAAAAAATATCATAATATTTATGATTACCATAGAAATTATTCATGTTCTACCATACTTGAAGTTATAAAGATTTCAAGTAATCATTTACAGTTATGGAATTGAGAATGTAAATGCTAGATGTTAGAAAAGAGAGAAGTTTGTTGGTTGCTAGTTGAGTAGACGAATGTCTTTTGGCTGTTAGCCTTGCAACGACGAGAAGGAGGTAGAGGAGCACGATGAGCTAAGGCTGGGGCTTGTGTATTGTCGTGGTCATGACTCATGGTGGCTGGCTATAGCAAGAAATCAGAGATGCAAAATGAATTAATTTGGGTTCGAGTAAGCCTTTTTTATTATAGTTATGGTTAAGTTAGATTAAATAATTTTTAAGAAAATAAGCAAAATAAGTAAAAAGTAGAAAAATATTGATTTGTGGAAGAGTAAATATAGTTTTTCTTTTTTACGGAGGGAATTTAAAAAAAAAAAAATTTGGAAGGAATTGATCTTACTTGTTTTTAAGGTCTGTTTGGTTGAAACTTCTCTTGAAAAAAGAATTCACAAAAGCAGATCAAAATTTAGCTTGACTTAGCCTAAAAAATTAAATTTCTTAACATGAAAGTCGAGATGAAGTATATATAATTGATAATAATGGAAATATAAGTGATTATATGTCAACTTTTCTAGAAAACATTTTTTTTCCATGATTTTTTGGCTAGAAAACGAGGTAATCAATTATTTTTTGGGAACAAACAATTATATTTTTATAATCTATCATATACCTTTTGTAATCAACTACCTAATGTAATCATGTTTATTTTTATTATAATCAATTATATTTTATCTCATTATTTGTATCAAGGAATTTAATTACCTGGGCCAAGTTAAGTTGATTTTTTCTCAACTTTCCTAAATTCTTTTTATGGGAGAAGCTTCGACCAAACATGCCCTCCAAGAGAAAATGGGCTCAAAAAGGGCCCTCAATAAAAATTATTTGGGCTTTGGTTTTTCGGTCAGCACTCATTAGGAGGCTGTTATCGGGCTTCTATTGTTGGGCTGCACATTGGAGCCCGCCCAAATGAACTGCCCAAAAAAACCCGAACACAGAAATTCGGTAAAAAGCCCGCTCGTCATTACTCAGTCCGTTGACCGAACTTTGTCCACCTCTAAAACAACAGCAGGACTGCATAATTTTTATCTTAATTTAATTATTAAAATATAATATAAATAAAATTAATTTAACTAAAATTTTTACATGATTATATTTTTAAATTTATCTATTTTAAATTTTATAT